TGCAAATTGATATATTTTTATTTTATTACTATATTTTTATTTATATATTTAATTTATTATTATTTAATATTGATATAATATTATTTGAAATATAATTATTATATTACATTAATTATAATATTATATGTATTATTAATCAATTGTATTAAACATAATATTGTTGTATTTGAAACTAATGTTTTAATGTAACATATTAGATAATATAATTTATTATTATTAATACACTATGTTAGACATTATATTAACACCTTTGAAACTCAAAACACAAATACCAAACTTGAAACATCTTTTTTGGTGTTTTGAAATAAATTTTGTGTTTTTTATTTTTGATCTCGTAACCTAACAAAAACACCATGGTTACCAAACACGTGGTGTTTTATTTTTGACAAAAGCACCATGAAAATACTAAAAACACTATGGTATCCAAGCATCGCCTAAATTATTTGTGTTAAGTATAATAAAGTATATGTTAAGTTTATTCTGAGACATGTTAATTAAAATCAGTACATGTTACACTAGTAGAAAATCGTGTATCCTAGACGGAATATCCTAGACGAAAAATTTTCCGTCTAGTTTGCTTTAAACTAGACGGAAAATTTCCGTCTAGGATAATCCGTCTAGGATAAATCATTCTAGACGGAAATTTCCGTCTAGAATAGTATCCTAGACGGTTTTTGTATTTTTAATTTTTTTTTTATTATAATCAGATATCCTAGACGGAAATTTCCGTCTAGAATGTATCCTGGACGGACCATCCTAGACGGAAATTTCCGTCCAGGACGTTTAGGCTCAGATTAAAAAACCCAATCCCCCCGCCCCCCCAAACCCCAAAATTTTAAAATCCTCCCCCTTTTACTTCTCCTTCCCGACCTCAGCCCTCCAATCGTCCGCCCTCTACACCCTCTCCTCCCCCTTCTCCGGCGACCTCACCCTCGACCTCCGCTCCCTGACCCTCTCCTCCGCCCTCGACCCCTCCACCTTCTCCCCGATCCCCTTCTCCCTCTCCCTCGAAACCCTAACCCTATCCCTGGCCCACCCCTCCTCCTTCTTGCTGACCTTCGCCACCTCCCCCGCCTCTTCGGCCCTCCAGTGGTTGGCCGCCTCGAGGATGAAGTTCGACGGGTTTATGGACTCGATGTCGGGGTTTACTCAGTTTACAATCGAGCAGGCGACGATCTCGAGCAAGCTGTGTCTTGTTGGTGACGCTCCAAGAATCGGAAGATGAGTTTGTCTTTGATTTCTTATGTTAAATTTGATTGATTTTTTCAATTTTGCTTTTTCTCTTGTAGGTCTTCAGGCTCGGCTACTGTGGATCGAGTGTTTGCAGCCTTCATGGTAGGGATGTGTTTTGTGTTCTTTTCCTTATTATGATGATATGATGTATTTTACGAAGGCATTTGTGTAATTTGACCATGAAGATGAATGAAATTTGGTTGAGCATTTATTTCTTTAAAAATTATGGGTTATTTTCTGTGAAAGTCATTGCCTATGATCGTACATATTTGGTTGCTAAATAGTTGAAATCCATGCATACAACTTGTTTGTGGATATGTCTCATAGAAAGTACGATCTGGTAAAACTATCAGTTGAGCTACGTATGTGATCACAATTATTACACACAAGTCATTCGTATGTGATCACAATTTTGTTCCTTTCTTTTTTATAACTTGACGATGATTTGATTCTAGAATTCTAAGATAAATTTCCACATTTAAAGTATTCTCTTTTTATCTTTTACATACATATTTGATCCTATGAAGCAATTTCCATGCAGATATTCTTGTTCCACTTGACAACTACATATCAAGGGGTACCACCCATTTTCTTACGTGTAAAGATCCTGACTATCAACAAAGTTTATGGTCTTTGCTCTCATCTGTGAGTTAATGATAATCTCATGTGATTTTTTCCCCTTCATACAATTATATTAGTTGAAATTTTGGCAGGAGGGTATTTTTTGGGGTGTGTGGGTGTGTTGCGGGCTCACTACGCGGGTTCTATTTTTAATTAGTTTTAGTTTAATGTTGCTCCAGTTCTTATTCCGATAATGCGTCTTTGCAAAGGGTAGGGCGGAATATTCTACTGCCTAGTAGCTCTAGGGATCACGGGACATTGTATCATACCAGTTTTATCCTTTTCCGTAGAACCTCAGGTAGATCATATGATTCTTTGACTAGGTTGATGGCATGGTGTTGATTTCAAGCAGTGTCGTATGAGTTTAGGTTGATTTCTCTGTTTCACGTCTGATGGTGGTGTAGTCTTACTTTTTGTTT